CACACACACACACACACACACACACACACACACACACACACACGCACGCACACAACCGGGGTTTAATTTCGTACATTTGCGGACCTATCTCCTACATCACTCCCTTGTGACACTGCTCAGAGTCGGAAACCACGATAGGACTCTTTTAAAATTTGCGTACCTTATAAGAAGGGTATTGGAAAAACACGTGATCTTACTTACGCCGTCGACTACTCGACCAGTGAATCAGTCATCCATCCACCTCTCCTCGAGACCATTTTACCGAGCCGCATAATGCGTACCTTTCTTATTCAAAACTCGGACTTGTGAACCCTAAGTCAGAAAAGTCCTGCCCGTATACAAGTCACGATATTAAGAAACTTACGGGCCAATACAGGAGCGCCCAAACTCATCCGACTAGAAACGTTTCTGCTCTAATTTTTTTCCCGCCGCCGATAGCAGGGGCAAGTACTAGTGGTTTATTGTCCGCTTCATTGACAGATGACATGACGCCTCCCAGTTTATTCATCCCCCTGTCCAAACCGTCTCCATCACGATGGTCCGCGATGGGAACCTGCTTGAGTTGTCTCATTCTGCACCCGGGCCGATTTTTTGAGGAAAAAGGAAAGCGAACCCTACGCAGCAATAGCGTCAAGACGATTGTTTGCCAACGTCCCTTCTCCGGCTGGTCCTTGCCACCAGTTCCCCGCACCCGTCGGATTGTTTGTGAAAGCCACAGGCTCGATCTGCTGCGATCCTGCCCGGGCATCTATGGTACCGATTGACTGCACGGGCCTATCGATTGCTCGTGACTCTGCCTCTCGCCGCCGCCGCTGTATGCCGCATAGACACCAGACCAGTAATACGCCGAGCGCGGCTCCTACGACGGGCAAAACGACGGCGAGAGCGATGACAACGGGTGTGAGATCGGTTTGCTTCTTAGCAGCAGGGGGGCTGGAGCTGCTGATAGCAGCAGAGGACGAATTTGAGATAAAGGGTGGTGGCGGCGTAGACGTGGAGGGCGGTGGATAGCTAAAAGAAATAGGGGAAGGAGCGTCGGGAGGGAGCGGCGGAGTAGAATTACGGGTAGGAGTGGTGGTTGACCTAGAAGGAAAAGTGGGTTCATCATCGCCCGGAGGAAAGATGTTACCGCTACGTTGCGGCACAGAGATTACGGGAGGGGGAGAGATAGAAGAAATGATGGGTCTGATCGTAGGAGGAACGGATCGAGGCGTAGATGAGATTGCAGAGCACGAGGGCAAGTCCCAAGTGTCTATTTCGAACTTGTAGATCGCCTCGTACGCTCCGACGTATAGATACGAGCCACCTGGGGAGATCGCCAAACCGAAAAGGTCCAAGCTTGAACTGTATGTATAGCGATAGCTGCTCGCACCTGCGAGTGTTCGGACGCTCTTCACGAGGCCACCGCTGCGTTCGAAGCTGATTAGCGTGATCCTCCCTGTTATATACTCTGACACGAACAGGTTACAACCGTCCGACGTTAACGCTAATCCATAGGGGCCGTCCACGTCCACATCAACATAACCACTACCGATATTCTCCACCCTTCCGCTCGCAAACCAAACGCGGTAGACGGCGTCGCCGATTTTGTCCGCAACGTACATGAACTGCCCGTCAGCGGAGAAGGCATGCTGGCTCACGCGAACCTCATTGAAACCCGCGTCCCCGGGGATGCTGGCTTGAACCGGCCCAACGGCCGACGCTTCATCGATGAGAGGAACTACTGTGCCAACTCCGGAAGAGGGGAGATACATCTTGTAGAGCCCATGATCCGTTGAAAAGTAAACGTAAGGCCGTGACGGATCAGCGGCAAGGCTAAGAACGTGAGAGTTGAAGCCCATCATATGAGTGATAGGGAAAGGCGGATCGTACGAGTTTAAACTGAAAGTTCGCAGGGTGTCATCACGGGCGTTGGCCACCAGAAGGAATCTCCCTTCACCACGGTACAAGTACCTGTCCATATCCACGATCGTGAAAGCTCGATCATCGCCTACGGAGCCATAAACCCGTCTGACCGCGCCAACACCGTACGAGCTTGAGCCGGTAGGCAAGCTCCACACGCCATCGTACGACAGGAAGTAAATCGATTCGTCCACACTGGACGGCTGCACGACGTAGATGTTTCCGTCTGGGTAATTACTCTGGGAGGAAGGGAAAAGAAGATTGCCTCGAAAAGTCAGCACGTCGCGGTCTACGAACCCGAACGGACCGTTGTAACTCGTAGACTGGAGGACGCGAGCGTGCGGCTCTCCACCTTCGGTTGCGGTTTCCTGAATCGCCTTGTACGTAAAGCCCACCCCACTAGAGCCTCGCCTCCCCGTTCGAAACTGGACAGAGTCGCTCGCCAATGTCTCGAGGACTCTCAAGAACAACGCCACAATGGACTGGGGCAAACCCTTGTTTTGTGCCAGAATGAGGATATGCTCTACCTCTCTCTCATTGAGCCTCACCGATGTCTGGAGGACTCGCAAGAACCGCCGCGCAATGGACTCGGGCAGTTCCTTGCTTTCGGCCAGCCTGAGGATATCATTTTCCTCACTCTCCGTTAGCTTCATCCGAGCCCAATGCTTACCCCTCATCGAAACTGCCGACGAGATCTTGCCGCCTTGTGCTCGATGCTCACGACTCCTCGAAAGTGCCGTCGACGACATTGCGCGTCTTCCACCGCGCGTGCTTGACGGCGGAGCGGAAACACATTTGCGCCGTTTGCGGAGGATTCGCTGAAGCGCAGTCTCGCGGGAGTTGATCGCACCAGTAGTGCTTTGCTGCGCCGGTTTTATCAACTCAGTGCGCCGTCGCCCTTGCAAGTTCAGCGAGTCTTCATGCGATGGCTCAAGGACGCGCAAGTGCAACTCGGCAACGGACTCAGGCAGTTCCTTCCCGTGGGCGAGGAGTTTCTCCAGCTCTCGGTCTTTGAAGTCGCCTGGCTTGCTCTGCCGGTTGGCTTGCCCCGGAGGCCCACGACTCCTCGACTCGGAAGAGGTTTCATGGCTTCCATAGCGCGTGCTTGAGGGAGGTGCAGTAGAGACACACCCCATGGTGGAGGTTGCCGCAATCCACAGAACTGCGGCAATACGAAGAGAAAGAGGAGAGAAAATGGCAGTCATCGTGAGAGAGTTTTGGGTGAATGATTGCAAACGGCGGTCGAAAATGAAACCGCGTCGAGCGGGGGCAGGACCACGCCTCCTAGAGTTGCGATCAAATCCCCCTGAGGACATACGGCATCGGAACGGAAGATGACAACGGGAAAAGGGAGCGAAAAACGGCCGCAGCTAATGACGAAGCGCTGCAAAAGCACCTTGGAAACTAAAACCCAACAGATCTCCCTTGCATCCACATCACGCTGACTGTGATCAAAGCACAACCCTTAGCGCAGGGCTGGCACTCCCCACGCACATACATCTGCGCCGCTACTACAGAGCCGCACGGTCTGTGTCCGCGTGTGTGTGTGTCTGCATGTGCGTGTGTGTGTGTGTGTGTGTGTGTGTGTGTGTGTGTGTGTGTGTGTGTGTGTGTGCGTGAGAGAGAGAGAGAGAGAGAGAGAGAGAGACAGAGAGAGAGAGAGAGAGAGAGAGAGAGAGAGAGAGAGAGAGAGAGAGAAAGTCCGAACCAGAACGGACGGAACGAGTATCAATAATGCGAAACGCGGGAACGCAGTTAGGGGAATCTGGGCAAGATGACGAGGATTTTTGTTTTCTTTTTCTGTTTTGGGCTATGATCTGTTTTTCCTTTTTGTTTTTAACAAGAAACGCCGCTCATTCTTCTTGGGTAGGATTTTTTTTTTTTTTTTTTTTTTTTTTTCCCTCAAGCCTCAAATGAGGGAACATGCGGGAGCTGCACCCACCAGCAGGTGGGCGATACCGGCCAGGGGTCAGCCGTAGCATCAGGACCGAGCTTCTTCGATGGGCCAGTCGTTGTGCCTCCCCTCGGATCCCCTCCCTTTCTTCAAAGCACTTCGGGCGCGGGAAGGAGTCGTTTTCAAACTCGGAAAGAAAAAGAAGTGCGCATCACACCTGCTTTGTTTTTACGCGGCGAACTGACGAATTTCCTTCCCCAAATCTCGGCGAAGGGACAACACAATCAAAACACGCAAACAAAAAAAAAGAAAAAACCTGAAAAAAATGGAAGAAACGGAAACAAAACAGAAAAAAGGAAAAAAGGAAAATAAAAACAGGACTTCTAGTGCCGGTCCATCCGTGGGATCGGAACCCCACTGTGCTGAAGGCTAAAATAACTTCTTTTTCTTATTTTAAACCTAGTAAAGCGGCCTCTTTTTTATTTTTTATTTTTTTTTATTATAAAGCGGCCTCTTGTTTTTTTTTTTTTTAAGCTATACTCTTCTCTCAATTTTTCCTCACACTACCTACCTACCACTTCTCCTACCTATAGGCATATGGGGACTTGGATGGGAGTCTTCGGTTTAAAAATTATAAAAATTAAAAAAAAATCAAGGTAGTGTCCAAAGACTTCCGGCTCAGAGTAGGGTTTGTCGGCCTTCTTGTTCTGCGCGGCTGAGGGCATACTCACACTGGGACCTATATTCCCAAATTCCCCCCAAAAAAGGTGCAGGACCTATCACACAGATTTGCCAAAGTCCTAAATGTACCATTTGTGCGCTCACTGTGTAGCGGCGGGGCAAGGGAATTTAAGGTCACCTCTGGAGGTGACCGCAAATGCCCTATTTATTTTTTAGCATGATATTCGAGAATTGGTGAAAATTCGTTCAGGAGAGAGTTCTTGCACAATTTGTGGATGCAATTTGTGGATGGCGCTGTGTGACCAGCGAAGTACCAAATAGCCAATGTTCCAGACAGCCGGTGCCTTGTCCCATCTGAAAAGGTACAGCAGTGCTAGCCGAACCATGCCCAAAACCTCAAATCCGCCCTGCCCAAATCTGCAAATCCGCAAATTTTGTGGATTTGGGGTCACAGTGTCATTGGTGTGTCGTTGGTCCTCTTCTTCTTCTTCTTCTTCTTCTTCTTCTTCTTCTTCTTCTTCTCTTCTTTCTTTCTTTCTTCCTTTCTTCCTTCTTCTTGCTCTTCTTTTCTTCTTCTCTTCTTTTCTTCCCTACGATTGATGTTGTTAATCATGGCGTTTGAATGTGTCAGCTGCCATCATTTCACGCAGTAACCGCTGTAGAGATTGAACTATAGTCGTGTGGCTGTGAGGAGCTTGTGAAGTCAACGATTTCCATATCTCGATGTTCTGATCCTTTCCTTTTATTCCCGACTCCTTTTGCTAGTCATCGAGTCTTGTTAGTATCGTGGCTGCTGTTGTAGGCTGCCTTGGCTACTTGTTCCGTAGTGATGGCTCATGTTAATGGGAATGAGAATACTAATTTTATCCCTGTTTGTCGTTGTTACACATGTGGCGAACCAGGACACTTCTCTCGCGAATGTCCACGTAATGGAGGTAACTATGGTCGGAATGGGAGTGTCAGTAATGGTCGTGGTGATTCTCAGTCTATGCCTTCGTCTTCTAACAGTCAAGCAATTGTGCCTGTCCAAAATTCGGGGCTGCTGGCACTGCCCGCTCCGAACTCTACTAATGGTAACGGTGCCGTTGTATCTGCGCCACCTAGGCAGGGTTTCTGGCGATCGAATCTAGAGAAGTTTAATGAGATGTATGACTGGTGGCATGCTGAAGTTCAAGCTAGGAATGCTACACAACAGGAAAAGGAGCGTGCAAGGATTTTGGAGGAAGAAAAAATAACAAGGCGTTGGAGGCGGAGGAGCGTAAGAAGGAGCAACAGGCCTTTCATAAGGAAATGGGAAAGCTGCTGGGTGATCAGCTCAAGGAAGTGTGTCCATCTATTCTTACTACAGGAGGCAGTAACAATCAAAGCAAGGAGGATGAGGTTGCAAAAATGAGACGTGAATCGGAGGAATTCCGAAAGAGCGTGGAGGAACGGATGGAGCGGCTTACGCTTGAGAATGAGCAGCTTCGACGGATGAACGAGAACCCGACCCTCCAAGCCCCCACTAGCCGATTGGGGACGAGGCGCAGAGCTGGAGTGCTTGGGGAGGAGGCTTTTGTGCCTACTCCTGGTCGATCATACCCACCGGTGGAGTCTCTGAGTGAGCTACAGAAGATGCGTGCAGCCTATCAGAAGGTGGTTAAAGACAAGGAGATGGCGGAGGCCGAGATTCGCTTGTTGAAGGATTTAAAGGCTCGTTCTCAGGTGGAAGTCTTGGAGCTTAGGCAGAAGCTGAACCTGAGCAAGACACCTCGGACGAATCTTCGCGCTACGTTTGAAGATGCTGCGAAAGTCAGCTTGGAGGATGACGATGAGGAATCCGAGCCGTTGGTGAGAGCAGGGACTACGTCGAAACGGAGGGAGCATGAGTTGGGTATTAGAAGGGATTTGCGTGGTCGAAAGAAGGCGGAGTTCCAGGATATCTGCACGAAGGAGGGGATCTAGTTTGCTACGATCAAGCAAGCTACGAAGGAAATTGTGAAGGTTCGAATGGAAAAAGCCTTTCCATCTAAACGAGGCGATTGCGGATGTGCGGCTGAAGAGGATATTGAATCGGTTGACGTTGGGGGTGTCAGGGATGGCAACTCGAGAGATGATGTGCAGGAGGTGTCTGATGCATAGGGTTGCTTCCCGAGTACAGACTCTTTATGGCGCTATTTAACTGATTGTTGCCTCGTAAGGACTGACGTGTCATTAGCTCGTGATGGTAGGGTAAACGGCCTGTGTAGGATTCTGACTTGCATGCTGATTTCCTCGGGAGAGATACCTTGGTTGTTGAAATTCAAAGGCTACGTTGATGAGTTTATCTCCTCTGGCTTTGACTTCTTCCGTTGCCCTCTGCCTCTGGTCTACGCGATCGTCTGCCCGTGGAGTCGGCATGTGTATATCGGGTCTACTTCGAGAGACCTTCCCACCAGATGGAAGGAGCATAGGTATCGGTGTATGAATCAGGGGGATTACGAGAGGGGGCATAAGATGTATCGCTGGATGCGGAGATTTGGGCTGGATCGGTTTGTGGCGATCCCGTTGGTTTCGTGTAAAGAATCGGATGTGTTGTTTGTGGAGAGTGCCTTGATTCGAATTTTCTCCCCTCACTTGAACTCGAAAGGGAAGAGGAAGTGCTCTAAGCGTAAACGGAAAGGGAAAAGAGAAAGACTGAGGGCTGCGCATGGTGATCGACGTGTTGACTATTCGCAAGGTAAGCTTCTATCATATCAGGCTTCTAACGGTGCCGAATCGTACAGCATCTTATCTATTCTGAATGACTATTTTGCTAAGAGTGTCCAAGATGTGGTTATCAACTTATCACGTGTGGGGGGGGGTGGGTGAAAGGTTGTTCGTCGGTGTTTCGGTACTTCGGTTGTGACGACGAGTGTGGGTCAACTTCAGCTTAAGGCGGCTAGATCGTGGTTTTGTTCAGGTATGGTGATTCGGTTTACCTCTATTAACTATTTCTGTTCATCCCTGGCGCACTTGAAGGGACCACTGTCTATTTTTTTGTCCAATCCTGTCCGACGGAAGGACCTTCACTCATGGAGCTTTGATGAATTGGTCGAGGGTTTCAGTGCGGTACGTTGTTTTTCCAGCAAACGATTGCGCTTTACTTTGAGGGTTGTGTTATCTAATGCTATTCGGAAATGTTTTGGGGTTTCGGTAAGCGAGCGTATTATCGTTCGTGTTGTCTTTGATGAGGCTATTTCCAAGTCGGGGTCCGAGCTCTGTGTGCTGGTGTTATTCGATCTTTGAGGATCTCTCGTGCTTGGCAGGAGTTGCTCGTGTGGCGGTTGCGGGTTGTCTGGGTAAAGAATCGTTGTGTGGGGGACTTTCTGTATAATTACCGTGTGCGTGTGTGTGATCCTACCTGCGTTTGCGATTATTCTTCTGATGAGTTTCCTCGGAGGGACGACCATGTGGTGTTCCGGGCCAGTGAGGTTAACTTTTTACCTGGTTGGTTGACTAATGCTAGGAACATCCCTCGACCGACTAGGCCACATTCTATCCAACTGTTGAGACGCTCGCTGTTGACCGCTTTCAGTAGGTTCTCCATGGTAGGTGTTGCGGAGTTCTTTGATGCTATGCTGAGCAATGAGATCTCCTCTACGGTTGTTCGGAATTCTGGGCGGTCATCTTCGTCTTCCTGCTCACTGAATCAAATCGGCCGCAGGTAAAGGACGAAGGGGTGAAATCAGAAGAAGAAGAAGGAAGTTGGCTATCAGGATCGGAGTGCGAAGGATTCGAGGCTGAAGTGCGCGACGCGGCGCGAGAACGAGCACGAGAGCGGAGGAAACGGAAGCGCCAGGAGACCGCGGAGGGAAAGCGACCCGCAACAAACGTATCCTCTTTCGATCCGTCGATCGGGGACCTGTGGCATGATCCAGAGCTGCCAGAGGAGGAAGATGATGGAACCACAACGGAGGGATCATGCGACAGAAGAAGAAGAAGAAGTGAATCGCCAGCTCCCTACGATCTGTCTCTTATACACATCTAGATGTGTATAAGAGACAGGAGGGAAAGCGACCCGCAACAAACGTATCCTCTTTCGATCCGTCGATCGGGGACCTGTGGCATGATCCAGAGCTGCCAGAGGAGGAAGATGATGGAACCACAACGGAGGGATCATGCGACAGAAGAAGAAGAAGAAGTGAATCGCCAGCTCCCTACGATTCCTCGTCCCGATCCTCCCTTCGTCTACATCATGATCTCGACGTTCGGGCTTCGTCCCTGGTCGTTCTCTCGCCGACCCCGTGACTACCTCATGCTCACCCGCCTTCCCCATAGACCCCCGTTCCCCGATCATTTGTGGCCCTTTCCCCCATCATTTTTTCTACCATCTCTACGCTACCCGCCTTCTAGTCTCCGTCTATCCCCACGTCACTACTCGCTCTGTGGTTGACTCCTTTCTCCTTCATGTGCTCCTGTTTAGCGCAGATTGGCAGGAATATAACCACATAGAAATATATTGTATTGTGTCGGGAACTATTCCCGCCTGTGAAAATTATGAAGATTTTCGCGCCGCTCTGCGACGGACCCTCTCCACCATCTACCCCGACTATATTACCGCCTTTTGCCATCTTCATGAGGTCTCTCGATTCCCCCGCATCCATCGCTCCTTCCACTACGCTACCCTTCCGAATTTCGCCTCTCCCGCCATTAATCACTCCATGCCCCCTCTCCCCCTGAACCATCCGCCATCTCCACCCTCGATGATCCGACTACCATTTCCTGGAAACATCTAAGGACTAGGGTCTTCCCCCCCCCTGTTTACACTGATGCATGGTTGATGGCACGTGTCGCTGCGACAACACGAGAAAGATCCTGTCTTTGGATCGTCGAGAAACCAATCTGAGGAACTAGTAGAAGAGCAGAACTGCCACGTTGGATGACGTCCGCACGCAATCGAACGGTAAGTGGCATAAAGTGAAGTGCTCCGCGTGTCGATCGATTAGAGAAATCGACAAGTGTCAACAAGCAAGCAGGAGCTTGCTAATATTGGAACCCCCTGGGCGTCACATATGTGACGAACCACTTTCTGTAACGCGTGAGTTTCTGCGCGGTTGCAACGAGGGGTCCTCAGCTGGGAAGATTGGGCCAATTACAGGAAATCGGGATCAGTGGAAAATTGCATCAATACCCTTGCTTCTTCGTCTTTTTCGTCGCTTCTTCGGGGCTGGGTGTGCCCTGGGACGACCGGTTAAGTGATTGGTCGGATGGATGTCTGGCGCGCCACTGCGCGCGCGATTAATAAATGTTGACGTCGTTTCTTTTGGTTCGGTTTTCGATCTTTTGGGCACGGACATCGCGCGGGAAATTGCTTCGTTCTTTTTGAATTTTCTTTTGAATCTTTTTTTGAATTTTGTCGAGCCCCCCCCCAGATGGCTCTCGGAATTTTGGACTTTCCTTATGGAATTTATGCTTTTTGCTTTTTCGCATTAGATAGGAATTTAGGAATTCAGTAATTAGGATTTTTCCTGCCGCGCGGCGCCTTTTGTCTACGCGCTTCTTCATGCGGCTACAACGGTACTCTGATTAGTAGGCGCCCTTAATCGCGAGTGTAACTGTAATTTTAGGCGGGTGCCATCGTAACTGTATCTCTCTTCTTGCACTTTGTCTCTCCCACCCTCCCTCTCTTTCTTTTACTAAAATTTTGTAAGTCGCGGCTTGCATGTTCAGATCGATGCGTGGAGAAGGGTTACGTCCCCCACGCCGCGGCCCGACCATACAGAACGCGGGCGCTCCCTCTCTAATCTTCACTCTAAGTCCTGGTAAATCCGTGTTCTTCGCGCATGCATGCACTCTATAAATTTCGGATGCACGATTAGTCAGCTCTCTTGACCCTTTGTTGGAAGCTCGGGGTTGCGCGATCAGGAAGGGTTGGCACACGAGCGAAGTAAGAGGTGAGTAGATTAGGAGTTGGGCGACCCGACGGGCTGGTGCCGAACGCACGGGATTGACGTGGGCCACGACGGACTGTGGGCACAGGCGAATCCGACGGGTGAGGGAGGACTAAGCGGGGTGACAACTTCGTGGGTTGGTGCGCGACGACGGACTGTCCGCATCGGAGAGAGAGAGAGAGAGAGAGAAGGAGAGAGTTGAGATCGATGGACGTGGATTTGCTGTTTTTTTGTCTCTTCCCCCTCTTCATCTGTGTACATACATTTTGATTACGGCTCCAAGCGGTTTGCCCGTTCTTATTTTCGTTTCGGCTTTCTGAAATCTGGGTTTGGGTTTTTGCTCACACTTATCTTTGCTTTGTCCATCCCGATTGCGTTATATGTGTGATTATCGAATGTATGGATGTATGAATGTGTGGATGTGTGGACGTTATGCCTGCTTGTATATCTTTTTGCTAAGAACCCTTGTCCTTGCTTTTCGCTCGTAACAGATCTTTGCCCCCACTTGATGCAGCTGTAGAAGGGATAAGAATCTCGCCCCGATAGCGATTCTGTTCTCGTTTTTGCTTGTCTCACGATGGGGTGTGATATGGTTGCATCTTGCATAATCCGAAGCAATTAAATAATCCAAGGACTGGCTCCGCGAACGCCGTACGAGGACACGTGTAAACGCGATCTAAGTCGCGCCCTTACACGCATTCCCGTACGTCGATTCACCCACCCTGAAAGATTTGCGGCAGAAACCATCATCTCGTACGAGCACGCTGAGGCGTCACGGCGTCTGCCTGTCCTGCACATGCTCGTGTGCGGTGACGATAACCCGAGCCGCGCTATCCCACCGGCGATGATACCATGACGCGATCTTGGGGCTCAGACTCGTCCTATGACCCGGACTATTTCACCCCTATAATAAACGAGCTCATAAGGACGCGATACCCTTGTCACACGGAGAATCGGCTATGTCTGCGGGAATTCCACTGTGCCACCATTAGCGACCCTCGGTGCTCCGATTTCCCTTCCCCCGACCACACCTACTACTTCACCCACCCACGATTCGTTGAGATCACCACCAGTTTCCCTCCTTTCCGCCTCCTTCTCTCGTATTATCAACTCAGTGTCGTTCCGTGGCCGTCCATAGCCCCCTATTGGCCCAATACGTTTTGCGTGAACTGCCCACGTAGCGGCAAACAGAGAACTCCGGGATTCCGAAGGCCCAACCCAGGCACGCGGCGACCTGCGCCACATGGCGGCCCCCAACGGCCTAACTTTCCGGGACCGCCTCCACCGCGGAGGGATTTCTCCGTAAACCGTCGCCCACAGTGCCCCAGCCCCATGGGCCCTTGAGTCCCCTACGCACGCGCCCCTTTTTCGCCCAATTGCATTCATATCCTTAAGACTCCCCCACTTCGCCCAAAAATCCTTGGCACACCCCTTTTCGCACTTTCAGGCCCACATCCCACTCCGATCAGGAAGTCGCGCTGGGCGTGAGGTTGGGCGTCACAGCGGAGTCAATGTTACCTTTCCTGCTTCAGGCGAACCTTATAGGCTTCTCCGTCCGATGGACATCTATAGCGATGTCCTTTACCTTCACCGAACTTTCTACCGAGTCTTCACGCAGGAGTCCTTCTGTGCTGGCTTCGACGGGAAGTGTCGGCATTCTTTTCTCAGAGTCTTCTCCAAGCTGCCCTCGTGTTCCAACCCTGGGTGCAGGCGACTCCCGGTTTATCCTGTCTTCCCCCTTGTCCTTTCCTTCTTCCGCTTATTCCTAGTCATATACATTCCCACTTCGGTACTACCGAGGTCCCTCGTCGCCTTCCCCCTTGTCCACACGGTGATGGCGGCTGTACGGAAGGACCCGTGCCTAAGCACGGGCCCAACCGACTTCGGCCTGGAAACGCTACTCATAGACCGTCGTCTTCCCTTCACCTCCTCTGCTACTTCGTGCACAACTCCCCCTTCGTGCTTTGGGGCTTGGCGCTGTCGCAATTTAGCACTAAAATTAGCGCTAGCGCAGTGCCGACTCATCATCTCTCCTACACTCTCATTTTCCACATTTGATGAGTTGGAGCAACGGCCAATTACGGGCACTCCCGAAACTCCTGGCAGATTGTCATCATTGGAGCAGGACCCTTCTACACTGTTTCAGACTTCCTCAAAAAAGCTTCGAAAACCACAAAAAAAAAAAAAAAAAAAAAAAAAAAACCATCAGACCTGGGGTCTTCACCCTGGCGCACCGGTACCGGAATCAAAACCAAACTCGTGCTAGTGGGACTTGGCCCCAGGAGCCAAGTCCCACTTACCTCTATGCCTCATATCCGACGGTGGTTCCCTGCAATGTAAGGTCGCAATTGAGGGATACGGAGAAGTGGGACCTGGGCCCATGAGTCTAAGCAGGCTGACGGCACCAGTACCAGTACACTCGTGCCGTATGTCAGGGCCCAAGTCCCACAAGCAGCCTTGAGTTTCCTGAATGCCTGACTCTGGACGAGTTTGTGGAGATGTGCTGTTGGGGAAACTCGACGCCGTTTCTGCACATTCCTCTAGCACGTCCAGATTCAGGGGTTGAGGACACTCAATGGTTCTAGTGGCGCTTGGCCCAAATGCCCAAAGTAGGCCGCTAAGGGCTGGGAGGGTGAGAGAGGAGAGGGCCAGGGCAGGTAGATAAGGAACAACTGTTCCTCCCGTCCTACATGGCCCGGGATCAGACCGCTGTGTAGGTCTGTGAATTAGATAATGGGCCTCGCCGCACGGTGCAAGAAACAAAAAAAAAAATGACTTCGTTTCGTGAAGTCGTCGCCGCATAGCACCCACAAGAACTGTGTCAGAAAAAACTCGTAAATGCTGTCAGCCTCCAAGTTCGCGAGGCCTCACGAGTGTGCCGACTCCTCCCCGCCTGCAGCCCTCGCGAACTCGTAGGTCCTGCGCTGGTAGGCTGGAGGAGCTGCGAAATCTCACAAGTGTGCTGCATCTCTCCAACCGAAGTCCATCCAAAAAACTTGAACCGTAGCGTCCACAAATTTGGACCGTAGCGAAACGAATCCCGCACTACTGTTGCCAGGGCATTGTCGCTAGAGTGTTCGTGTGTGCTGTGGGGCGGTGAGGCAAAGAACGAAGCGAAATGGTGGATCAGTGGATCAGGGCTTCATGAGGC